GAGGTCCCACATCTTTGGACATACATCGAATTTCACTATGTGAGGACCTGGAGCCTCCTTCCAATTACTTTGGGGCCATAGTTGGGGTCTCGTCGGGCCATCTTGGAGATATTTTGGTCATCTTGGGTGGTCTTGGAGGTCATGTCGGATCATGTTGCGACACATTGGGTCCATATTGGGGGGCATCTCGAGGGGCTCAATGGCCCAGCCAGTCTGTAGACAAAGTCGTGTTCTCCTCTACGCGACTGTGGACCCCAGAGCTAAAGTGGGCAGCAGGGGAAGGGGCAGCTATACATCTCATACGCCCTATCGCCCTGGACAGGCGGGGTCGGCCCATTAGTGGTAGTCTGGAGGGTCCTTTTTCCTCTCGCCGCAAGTTGCACTCACACCTACGACTTATCAAGCGAGGATTGAGAGTAGTGGAGTCAGTGCTAACAAGTGGAAGTCGTAGCCAGTGAAGTTCACGCAGCTGGCTTGAGAGGCGGCCCTTCTGTCTAGCCTTTCAGATTTTCCAAGGCGCGGTTCCTGGCTGAGCGGGCGAAGAACGGTATACAATAAACTTTTTCTGCCGTCGGGGACGCCTTCCCCATGGCGGCTAGAAAGCTTATACCCTGACGTGCCACTGCAGGGGTATAAAGTTTCCAGCGACCCTGGGGCCAGCGTCCCCGACGGCGGAAAAGTTTATCTTATACCGTTCTTTGTTCCCTAACTGGCTACAGTGCACTGCCATGTAGGTTTTGAGCCCTGTGTGCAGCCAGGAACCCTGGTCTCATGGTTACCGTCTGCTCGTTCTCCCTCGACGCTAGACCCGAGAGAGCCCACGAAGGTGGGCGGCTCTCAAGGCATCGCATGCAGAACAAGTGTGTCCCGCCGCGAGCCTGCATGGGGTGCGGCTTACCGCACGTCGCAGCGAGCCGGTCATCCTCGCTGCTGCTCGCGTGCCTCCTCTGGAGCCGCTTTGGCTCAAGATCACGGTCGGTATGAGGGAATACCGCGGGTCACGTGGGTCTCACCTGACCCCCGCTCCACGGCAATTTGTGATGTCCCGCTAAGCTCATCTTGTGCCTGCAGCGTGCAGGCCAGCCCTGTCATGAGTCCTCGTCGGTGGTCTCTGCAGCTCTCCCCGAAGATCTAGCCTGCCTTGACGCGCTCACTGGTCAGACCAGATGACCTGGCGCACACGCTTCGCCCCATGAGGAGCTCCACCGAAGGCCTCAGCGGTAGGGTTGGCTGAGCGTGCCTCCGCCCATTTCGGCGCACCCCTCTTACGCTTCGTGGCCTGTCAGGGAGCCCCACCGCAGGCCTCAGTGGCTGCTTTCGCATGGGGTTCCGCTGTCAATTTCGGCGCACCCTTTACACATTTCGTTGCCCCATAGTCCTTCACATGCACGTCCCAGTCCTCTTGCTTGCCCCCACTTCTTATCATCTGTCTCGCGGTACTCGCAGCTGCCTATGGTTGCGTCCTTTGCCAGGTTGTTCTCCACATCCTAAGTGGGGTTCCTGTCTTTGGACACACCGCGCAGGAACAATTACACCACCACATTATCATCATGACCATCGTCATCGTCATCATCACACCATCACCATCACCTCACCACGTTCTCACACTCACCATCACCATCACCACCACCATCACCGTCACCATCACCGTCACCATCATCATCACCACCATAATCACCATCATCATCACCATCATCACCATCATCATCATCATCGTCGTCTTCGTCGTCATCGTCATCGTCATCATCGTCATCACCACCATCACCACAATCACCACAATCGCCATCACCATCACCATCACCATCACCATCACAGCACCAGCACCATCACTACCATCATCATCAGCATCATCACCATCATCATTATCATCGTCAGCATTATTATCATCATCATCATCATCATCATCATCAGCAGCAGCATCATCATCATCAGCAGCATCATCAGCAGCATCATCATCATCATCATCACTGTCATCATCGTCATACTAATCATCAGCATCATCAGCAGCAGCATCATCATCCACACACTAACATCAGCACCACCACCACACCATGATCACCACTCGAATTCACTCACTTAACCATTATTAGCATCATCACCATCACCAGCACCAGCACCAGGACCAACACCATCACCGACATCATCACCAGCATCATCACCACCACCAGCACCACCAGCATTCATGTACTTCCACACTCGCACTTTCATCTGAACGAACACTCGAGCGCATACCTCTTCTGTGAGTGAATTGCGAGGAAGTCTCAGACAGGAGCCCCATCCCTATGGGGCCCGCACTTCTTATTGGTGATTTGAGCGGGTCATCGAAATATTCTACCAGGCGTCGCACTTGAGCACCCCGATTGGGTCAAGTCGTGAGGATTTCTCGAGCGGGGGCCTCATCTGTGAGCTAATGCGAGGAGGTGTCAGGCGGGAGCCCCCCCTCCATATGGGCCCCGCGCTTCACGCTGGTAATTCGAGCGGGTCATCAAAGTATTCTAGCACTTGAGCACCCCAAGGGGGCAATGTGTGAGGATGTTTCGAGTGGAGTGCTCGCTTGGATTGCGAGGAGGTCTCAGGCGGGAGCCCCTTTACTTATGATGCCCGCATTTTATATAGGTAGTTCGTCTGGGTCATCGGAATATTCTACCAGGCATCGCACTCGAGCGCCCCAAGTGAACAATCCGTGAGGATGTCTCGAGCGGGGGCCTCGTCTGTGAGCGACTTGTGAGGAAGTCTCAGATAGGACCCCCCTATGGGGCCCGCACTTCTGATTGGTAATTTGAGCGGGTCATCAGGAAATCCCACCAGGCATAGCACTTGAGCACCCCAACGGGGGCACATCGTGAGGATGTCGCGAGCGGGGGCCTCGTCTGTGAGTAATCGGCGAGGAAGTCTCAGACCAGAGCCCTCCCCTCCTTATGGGGCCCGCGTTTCATGTTGGCAATTCGAGCGTGTCATCGGAATATTCTACCAGGCATAACAGATGAGCACACCAGGGGGCCAAATCCTGAGGATGTCTCGAGCGGGGGGTCCTTGTCTACGAGTGAGTAGCGAGGAAGTCTCAGGCGGGAGCCCCCCTCCCTGTGGGGCCCGCACTTCATGTTGGTAATTCGAGCGGGTCATCGAAATATTCTACCAGGCGTCGCACTCGAGCACCCCGAAGGGGCAAATCGTGAGGATGTCTCGAGCGGGAGTCTCATCTGTGAGTGCATAGCGAGGAAGTCTCGAGCGGGAGCCCTCCCCTACGGGGCCCGCAGGTCTAACACGTCCAACAGGTTGCACAGTTCCCACGGGCCCCACATGTTTCAAAGGTCCCACACGGCGCATGTTGGTACCTTCGCTTTTTGGCATCATCAGTCTCCTTACTACTAGGTGAGGGTGGGTCTGATTACATTAAGGAGATTATCCTATGGGTCCTACCGTCGGAGTAATTGTCTGCACGTCGTTGTCTTCGGTTTTAGAGCAAGATGAGTATGCGAAGCCCAGCGAGGGCCAACATTAGGATCCTGGGTCGGGAGTCTCTCCTGCTTCGCCTCCTCCTTGTTATTCTCCGCCTGCGTCTACCCTACCTCGCCCTATTATAATTGCACAATCAGAGTACCTTGATTGTCTTTCCCATCCAATTATAGCAGTGCGCGCGTGTGCTCCCTCCTCTATCGCGTCATGTTCCGCACGCGCAGTATTGAATCGCTTCGCTCATTCCGCTGGCCCATTTCGCATGACTGAGCCTCTTGGGGCCGCTGGGGGGCCTCTTCAACGTCGCTTGGGGGCCTCCTGAGGGCCTCTTGGGGGCTTTTGGGGCCTCTCAGGGGCCTCTTGAGGCCTCCTGGGGGCTGCTTAAGGCCGAGGGCTCGAAGTTTTGTTTTGTGTTCCCCCTTTGGGGCATCGCTTGGGGCCCTCTTGGGCCCCTCTTGGGCCGTCTTGGATGCCTCTGGGGCCGTCTTGGAGCCCTCTTGGGCCATCTTGGGGCCTTCTTGGGAGCTTCTTGGGCCCTCTTGGGGCGATCTTGGGGGCCTCTTGGGCCGTCTTGGGGCGTCGGGAAGCCGAAAAGATGGACACGCCAAAATCTGCCCAAAACCTAAGGAAAAGTAATGAATTTTGCCTCTTGGGGCCCTCTGGGGAGTGCTCTTGGAGGCCTCTTGGGGCGTCTGGGGGCCATCTTGGGCGTCTTGGAACGATCGTGTGGCATCTCGGAGCACTCTTGAACCATCTTGGAGGGCTCTTGGCGGCCTCGTGGCCCTTCTTGGGGCTCTCTGGAGGGCCACGGGGGCGGCGCCCAGGAGGAAAACCATCTCTGACCCGACCCTGCCGGGGATCGCCTGGGATACTTTTCGTCTGGGGACCCCCAGGGGCCGCCCCGCGCGCGCGAAGTAGAAGTATTATTTAGCAGTTACCGGAGATCTTAGCACGCCTCTGGCCCGTTGGGCCGGTGAATTTCAACAGTTGGAATGCTATTCTTGAATTTTGTGTGTGTATATATATATGTATATATGTTTATACATGTAAAGAGACAAGACTGCACTGGCGCTCCACGCCGTGCTCCTTGGTCCTTCGAGCTCCGCACCATTTGACAGTTCGCATTGGCCTTGGATTGTGGCTGGCTCCCCGGACTGCTCTTGGGTTGCGTCTGGCCTTGCCAGATGGCGGCCAGGACGCCAGAGGCCCTATGGGATAACCTCGATCCTCGAACTTCGAATCCGGATCCCTTGCTCTCCTCTCTGGACCCTTCATCTTTGAACCTCGAGCCTCGAGCGTCGAGCCACGATCTTCGGTGGCCCATGGGCGGCGGGGCCACGGACGTCCAAGGTCCACAGGTGCTCCGAGGGTCCCCGGACCCGTCGGCCCCCTCCCGGAGACCCGGCTCTCGTCGCAGGGCGCCTTCCAGTGGCCGTGTAACCCACAGGCGGCCTTCGCGCAGCAACCGAGGAGCAGCAGTCGTCTCGATTGCCTTCAGATGTTGGAGGTCCGGGCCTTCGTCCTCCCCACTCGGAGGTGGCCCCCCGGACCCGTCCAGAGGGGTGTGCTCCGATCGGAGCAGAGCTTCGACGCGTGCCCAGCCGTACGAGGGCGCCCTGGGAGGCCCGGGCGAGAGGCCGAAAACGCCCAGATACGCTGACGGCGGGCTCGTCTGGTCACGACCTGTGCGTCAGTGTCCGACACCGCGTGGATCGTTCAGCCCTGAGCGGTCGCCGCATTCCGATAGCGCAGATGGCTCAACACCGACCGACTCCTGAGCACTGGCGGCGTTCGATCTTGAACGCCCGCGCCGGGGTCGGCGACGCGAACTCACTGTAGGGGAGGAGTTACCTTTTTGGGGATCGGTTTTCACCCTGGGTCTGTTCTGGAGGGTTCGTGAGCCCAGAAGCGGCCCTCGGAGGCCGAAAGGTACGTGAATGAATGCCAAACAATGCGCCGAATTGTCAAGCAGTGTCGCAGAAAACCCAGCAGTGCCAGGCCGATCATGTCTTTTGACATAGTCAGCGAGCAGCAGCGCTCAGCTGAGAACCGTGCTGGAGCCGAGAAGTGGCGGCGGGTCGCAATTGCGCGCGGAAGTACGAAACTCTTGGGAAATGCATCGGCTCCCTGGTTCGCCACGGATTTCTCAGGAGCGAAAGAAGGACGTACACGTAAATGAATCCACATTGGCTTCGGGAGTTCGCATTGCGCGAACGTTCGTGTCACGCGGCTGGTCTCGCGGATTGGGGGGCCGTGTTCATGTACGTGGTTGAGCGTGTATGGCCTTCTGTGGGCTCCTTCATTTTCGGGAAATGTGGTTGCGAACCTGGGATTGGGGTTGGTTGGGTGTATTTTGCAGGGGGACCCTGTGTGGGCCGTTTTGGGACCCGTTTGGGCCCTCGTGGAGTTCTCTCGAGCCTAGGGCTGGACCTGAACGCTTTCTTGCTGGACTTCGGCTGTGTCTTGTTTTTCGTTTTGGCAGGGAGGTGCAGGAACACAGGTAGAGCAAAACGAAAAACAGAGCCGAACACAGAACGAGCAACAACGTTTAGGTCCAGCCCTGCTCGAGCCGTCTTGGGGAGCCTGGGCCCTCTTGTGGGGGCCTTTCGGGGACCATCTCGGGACCTCTTCGGGGGGCCTCATGTGGCCCTCTTGGGGGCCTCCTGTGGCCCTCTTGAGCCTCTCTCTTGGGAGCCTTTTGGGGCCTTCTGGGTGCTGTTTCCTCCTCGCCCTCCTCTTCGCCTTCGTCCTCCTCCCCTCGCCGTCCTCCCCCCTCGCCTCCGCCGCCGCCGCCGTCGTCGCTGGCGTCTTCATGTTTCGGAGCCGCGCCTTTGGCAGCGGAACTGGTTGTTTTTTAGCCAAGGCGCTTCTTACGCGCACGGATCTTCCTCCTTGGTCTCTGCAGGGCCGTCTTGGCGCTTTCTTGGGCCGTCCCGGGGCCTTCTCGGGCTGTCCAGATGCCCTCTTGGAGCGTCTTGGGCTATCTCGGGGCGATAACGGGGGTCTCCTGGGCCGACTTTAGACGCTGCTAAGATTCAAAGAGCGAATCTGTTGAACACTCACGTGTTCCTAAGGGAATCGGGCGATGCTTACCTCTTCTTGGGGGTCCTCTTGAGGGCATCTTGGGAGCCCCCTGGGCCGTCCTGAGGCCATCTTGGTCCTTCTCGGATCACTCTTGCTATCTTGGGTCTCTCTTGGGCCTCTCCGATCACCCCTCTGATCGCCTGGGGTCTGCTGACAAGGCCCGGCAAGGCGCCCCGGGAGACCTCTTCCAACGGTGTGTAGAGGGCCCAAAATTCTGGATCTTGGGGTGTTGTTTTGGGGAGGAGGGGGGGGGACGACGGGTTTTCCCACCCCTTCGGCTCGTAAACATACAGAAGGAGTGTTTTTGTCTATCGAACCTGACTTGGTGTTTTGGCACGATTAACGATTGTCAAGGCACGACAGTCTCGTGGATTTGCGGTGTTGAAGTCCAAGGAATGGCGTTCTGGCGCGATTCAGGGTCGTCAGGACGCAACAGTAACGTTGATACGCGGCGTGGAAGTCCCAGGAATAGTGCTTCGGCATGGTTGAAAACTTTCAGACGGTTTCCCCGCGGTGAAGTTATCCCTGTAGGGACCTATGAAGAGGGAATTTGGAGGGAGGGTTTATTGCAGCATCGTTGATGAATCTTGGGTTTGCACTGGTCCTCCTTCGTCTCATCCTTCTCCTCCTGTCTCCTCCCCTCTCCATCTTTTCTCACCTCTTCTCTCCTCCTCTCTCCTCCACCTCCTCGCTGGCGAGACGGCTCGATAGCGCTGGCGGCCGCAGCACGAGCGGCATGACACGGCTGGCCAGCACCCCCTGTTAGAGGGGCATGCCAGAGGTGGTGCCCGATGATGCGGCGCACCCCGACGGGCACTCGCAGAGCGAGGCGCGATCGGGCCGGGCCGTCATCCACAGAAGAAAGAATCGGGAGCCTTGAGACGGGGGTCAATGCAAATGGGAGTCAGCCAGGGCGCCCGATCTTGCAGGATCCTGCAGGGCCAGAGTCGCATTGACCCGGGTTTGGGTGCAGGATCCTGCAGGATCTTGCAGGATCTTTCGCATTGACCCGGGTTTGGGTGCAGGATCTTGCAGGATCTTGCCGGATTCTGCAAGGCCTGACTGACCCGGCTCTGGATTGACCCGGGCCAGAAGACCCCCGAAAGAAGAAAAGCGGCATGAACATAAATGTTTGACGGTCCGCGCGGAATTCTTGGATCTGCGCTGGACCCCCCTCCCTGGGGCGCGAAGCGCGCCAGGGGCGGCGCCAGAGGCGCCGCCAGGAGGATCCAGCGCCGATCTGAGAAGTCTGCGCGGACTGTCAACAATTTATGTTTATGCCCTTTTTCCAGGACCCACCGCAGGCTGTATTTTTTTGTCATGGGGGTTGATCGGATTATTGTCTCGGCGGTGGGTTGCAGGGTGCGTCAAATCTCGCGGTAATGAAACGTCGCGTGTGCAGCGTCATTTGGGCACGCGGTTGCATGCGCAGAAAAGAACACATTCACGTGGTGTATATTTCGGTGTGGTGTATAAAGTTTCCGGGGTGATCCATCGCTTCTATACACCACTACCGTGCTGCCATAGGGTGCCCGGGAGTAATTGTTCGCGACCAGATGCGGCCGCCATTTGCGCGTATGACCACGTGGCAAATACTTATGCTTGGAGGGGGCAGGCAGTGACACCCCTGTCAGGGCGGTCGCGCGCAGGTTTTTTTCTGTTCCTATGGCCGCCTGGTGGTGGTGTATATTTTTGGGCTCCGCACTTTCTTGTTTCCCATCCAGAGGGAAGGCGTCCCACCAGCGCCGCCAGACCATGTCCACATCCACCGATTCGGAGTTGTGCTACGGGCTCTGGAGGACCCCATCGAGTAGTGGTGGATCGGGATATCTGAGCGTCCCTGATGGCGGGAACGCATCCGCACCCTTCGCCGCCCAGGGATCCAGGACATGACTCCAGCAGCTGTGGATATGAATATCTCCTGACGTTGCAGTGCCGACACCGATGCCGGTGCCCTTGCCTCGTATTATGATGTTCCGACTTACTTTAGTCTTGATCGCCAGAAGGAATTTCGAGCGCCAGGAAGGTACCCAAATTGGGGGGTTCTCACGTGTCGGGCCTTGGGAGGCGACACTTCGCTAGCGTGTCGGGCAGACACTGTTTCGATACTTTTCTGGGTGTTCGAAATTCTTTCTGGGATGTGGTCCTAAAGTACGATGGGAACAGCATAAGCCTCGTACCCGCTAAAGTTGGGCCGCGTTCGGGGACCTCGTCGCCACGGCTGGACTCGTCACGGAATCCTGGCCAGACCGCACCTCGGAGAGGTCCAGGGAGTAGCGGTGCCGGTATCGAAGACGCTTCCGGCGAGTCACCGCCGCCCCTTTTTTCTCGAAGCGCCTACGCGAACAGTGTAGAGGATCCTTCTGGGGCCGTTTTGGGGCTGTGTTGGGGCTCTTTCCAATCCTTTTGGGGGGCCTCCTGGGGCTCTCTTGGGCCATGTTGTCGCTCTCTTGGGCCATCTTGGGGCTCTCTTGGACCGTCCAGTGCCATCGGAGGCCATCTTGAGGGCCTCTCTGGGCTGATGTGCGGCTTTCCTGGGACCCTCCAGGGCCGGCTGGGAGGTTTCTTTGGCTGCCTTGAGGTCCTCGTGAGGCAGCCCTGTGGGCCCTGGAAACCCATCTTGGGGCGCTCTTGGAGACCTCTGCCGTTCTGGAGGCCTCTTGGTTGTCCTAATGCCGAAAAGGCGAGAATGCGAACATTTTTCAAAAATTAGCCTGGCGAAGGATCCAACCATATGCAGCTGCGAGCGCCGCAATTGTGCATATCGTCTTCGGTGGCGCTCCCTGTGGGGCCACGAACCATGTGAGGGGTGTGCCGAAATGTGTGGCGAGGTACACATCACGAACGACGACGATAGGTATGAGTACGAGAGACTGAGCGCGGGTGAGTCTGAGCGCGAGTGAGACGCCCTTCTGAATCTCAACGACCACGTGCACCCTCTGAATCCCAACAACCACGTACCCCTGGCGGTTGCTGAACGCTGGGACCTTAGGTGTTCCCCATGGGGCCACGAAGCGTGTGAGAGGTGTGCCGAAACGGGGCGGCGGTGCCATGCGAACCCTCCCATTGGGGCCTTCGGTGGAGTTCCGTATGGGGCCACGAAGCGTGTGAGAGGTGTGCCGAGATGGGGCGGCGGTGCCATGCGAAACCTCCACTGGGGCCTTCGGTGGTGCTCCCTATGGGGCCACGAAACGTGTGAGGGGTGTCTCGAAATTGGGTGGCGGTGCCATGCGAGCCCTCCCACTGGGGCCTTCGGTGGAGCTCCCTATGGGGCCACGAAGCGTGTGAGACGTGTGCCGAAATGGGGCGGCGGTGCATGCGGACCCTCCCACTGGGGCTCTCGGTGGAGCTCCCTTTGGGGCCACGAAACGTGTGAGGGGTGTGCCGGAATAGGGCGGGAGGCGAAGCTGCGTGGGCGCGGGAGAGGAATGACGCCGCCGTGACTAGGGGCTGTGGAGCTGGTTGTCCGCCCCCCCCCCCACACCGGCGCGTGGTGGCCAGGGGTGTCCCGTCGGTGGCGTGTCGGTGTCCCTTCGGTGTCCCGTCGGTGTCCCGTCGGTGTCCCGTCGGTGGCGCGGTGGTGTCCCGTCGGTGGCGCGGGGTGTCCCGTCGGTGGCGCGGGGTGTCCAGTCGGTGGCGCGGCGGTGAGATCGATAGTGAGACCGATAGTGAGATCGATTGTGAGACTTGTTGTGAGATCGATAGTGAGATCTGTTGTGAGATCGATTGTGAGATCGATTGTGTGATTGATCGTAAGATCTGTTGTGATAATCGATGGTGAGATTTTTCGTGAGATCTACAGTGGGATCGACAGTGAGGTCGATGCTGAGATCGATTGTGAAATCGATAGTGAGTTCGATTGTGAGACCGATCGTGAGATCGATTATGAGATCGATCGTGAGACCGATCGTGAGAGCTGTTGTGAGGTCGACAGTGAGACCGAACGTGAGATCGATCGTGAGTTCGATTGTCAGATCGACGGTGAGATATATTGGGAGATCGATCGTGAGATCTGTTGTGAGATCGATCGTGAGATTGCTTGTGAGATAGATCGTGAGTTCGATTGTCGAATCGATACTGAGATCGATCGTGAGATCTGTTGTGAGGGCGATCGTGAGATCGATTGTGAGATAGATAGTGAGATCGGTTGTGAGATCGAGAGCTTGATCGATGTGCGATCGACTGAATGACACGTTAGTTCTTCCTACCCCCCTCGAACTTCCATATCACCCGAAGGGTTGCCGTATAGGTACTAAAGGTCCGTTGGCCCTTGGGATGCCTTGATGCTATCTTGGGTCACCGGGATGACATCGTTGGCGTCCTGCAGCCGCCTGGGGCCGTCGTGGAGGCCACGAGAGGTCATTTGGTCCGACTTCGAGGCCGCCTTGGCCGTCTTGGAGGCCATGTGTAGGGAACGAAGAATGACATAAACATAAAAACTTGGAGGTCCGCGCGGACCTCCGAGTTTTTATGTTTATGTCATTATTCGTTCCCCTAGTGTGGGGCCACCTCGGCCGTCTTGCCTTGGAGGCCCTCTGGGAGCCACTTTGGACGGCGAAGCCCACGGAGCCCGCTTCTTCCGGCGGCCCGGACGGGTCGGGCCGAGTCACCACCGCTCGTCGGGGCTCGGGCTTGGCTCGGGCCCTCTTCAACCTGCGGGGGCCCGCAAACGAACGGTGCGGCGACCACGCTGGTGTGGTAAGCCAGCTTTTCCAGTTTTCGTTGGCTCTTGGGGTTCTGCCTCGGGATGCATTCCTCAATATCGTTTAACCGACCCCCATCCCCAGCCCCATCCCTATGCAGACCCCCACCATCTCAGTGCCCCAGACGGGGATATACCCTTCGGAACCCACAGGAAACAGCCTATATCCCCATCTGTGGGGTTAAATCGGCCTGTGGGGCCCAGGCCACGCCCATGGGGACGGGTTGATTAAACGATGCTGCTCAATTCCAGCAGCTGCGCCTCGGCGCGAGCGTTCTGGGGGCGTGCAGATAGTCCCGAACGGCCGCCGGAGACTCGATTTCTGGCCCAGAAGCCAGACTTTCCGTTGCCTGTTTGGCTCACGCTATTTTGGCTCAAGCTCTGCTCAGTTGTCGTGCGAGGTCGTGTGTTTTTGGTACAGCCCTACCTTCGACGCCATGCGGCGACCTCGCGTGGCGGAGAATTCAAAATTGGATTTCTTAGAAACTGATGCAGAGAAAAACCCCAATCAGTGGATGGTTTGAGAATTCGTAATTTTGATGTTGAGATCGAATGTGAGATCGGTCATGAGATCAAGACCATGAGACCGATAGTGAAGTCGATTCAGTGAGATCGATAGTGAATTCGATTGTGATATCCCCTCGTGCGATCCATAGTGAGATCGATTGTGAGATCGATCGTGAGATCGACTGTGATATCTATAGTGCAATCGATGGAGAGGTGGGTAATGAGATCGATGGTGAGACCGATCGATATGGAGATCGACCAAGAACCCGGGAACCCCGCCGCCCTCTGAAATCGTCCCGGAACCAGCAACAGTGAATCCGGGAACCCGGAATCGGGAACCCGGGAACCCGGCCGCTTACCGAAATCGGCCCGGAAGTTTCGCCAAATTTTTCAATATCGGGAACCCGCCGCCCACTGAACTCGTCCCAGAACCAGCAACCGGAAATCCGGGAACCCGGAACCGAGAACCCGCGGGAGCCCGGCCGCTTACCGAAATCGACCCGGAAGTTTCGCCAAAATTTTCAATATCCGCTAGGACCCTTTCAGTGCAAGCACTGATTGGGGAATAAATTATGGACAGTGATAAGCATGCTGGAGATAACCATTGGATATCACGTGCA